ATACATGCATCTATACATGTATACATTCATACATGCATCTATACATGTATACATTCATACATGCATCTATACATGTATACATTCATACACGCATCTATACATGTATACATTCATAAATGCATCTATACATGTATACATTCATACATACATGCATACACATGTACAAATTTATATTTTTGTCTCTAACTCTAGCATATTCTTTCCCTTTGCCATTCATTTCACTTATCACTTGCTCGAATAATGTCGCATGAATTTTTGACTCGTAACTCCCAAGCTTAGACACATTTAGACACAATATTGTTATTAAAGTGAATTCAAAATATTGCTAGACTGCACACAAACTTTGCTCCGTTTCCTGCTAAACTCAAACGTTTTATTCGTGGCCAAAAGAAAAAGCCTCTGCTGCCTGTGTGTCTGTGTATATGTACATACACACATATGTGTGCGTGTCTATGTGTGCACATGTGCGAGACTCTCCCAATTCAGTTTGTTTTGATTTCAAATGTAGCACAAGAATAAGAATAATAACAGCTTACATTGATATTCCGGTTTGAGAATGCGGCCAAATTCGATGCTTTCAATGCTTTCAATTCCAATTGATTGACGTGAAAAGTTCTATTTGCTTTGAAATTTGCAAAATGCAATCACACCACCGGCACTCGTCAGCAGAATGGGAACAGAAAGAAATTCTGACAATGTCAGATGCCTCGGCTGACAGGAGTTTGTCAAAACAGTTGGCAGCGCTGTTTGCCTATGCCAAATCTGAATTTCTGTGTGCATGTGTGTGCACGTGGTGCAGCGTTTGACTTGATGTGATGGCAATCCTGAAACAATCGAGCAAATTGCAAATCACTTCAAGTTCTATTTGAGCCGAACTATGTTAAGCCAACAGTGTTAGCAATTAAGCCAACAGAGCTGTAGCTGGTAATGGCTGCATGGATCTCGCAATTCTGTTAAGTTAACAGTGCTGGAGCTTACATTGATAATTGCTAAATTAAGCCACTGCAGTGCTCAAGCTCAAGATCATCTCTGACCTTAGAGCTTAAGCTAATTGTAAATTCATTTTGCTTGCCTTGGTGCACTTACAAAGTCTCAGCTTGAAGTGGGATAACAGAGCACAAGCTGAAAGTGTGACGTCACAGCACAGCTGTTTCTTTAACAGAGCTATTAGTTAACAGCAAAAATAACTCAAAAGCTCTTTGCATGCTCTGTCGATATGTTAAAATCGATTGATTGGCCAAATAGTATTTATTAGAAAGGCAAAATATGATATCACATCACATTGGCAATGTTTCTCTATCTCTCTGGCTCGCTCTGCTTTTCCTAACTAACTTTACTCGTCTGCTCTTTCTGCTTGCAGGCCTATCCGAACCGTGACATTACGAATATTGTGGAATCGTCGCACTACCAGAAGATCGGCGGCTGGTGTCGCCAGGGCTCTTTGAATGCGGCCAAGTGCAAGGGCGCCCATCGCTGGATCAAGCCGTTCCGTTGCCTGGGTAAGTCCGAATCGATTAAGCTCTGAGCGCCACGCGACCAATGTGAACCATTTGCTTTTCCATAACCAAAAAACCACCAAATCGAAATCGAAATGAAAACCCAAACCGGAATGAAAATCAAAATGAAAATTGAAAACCAACCGACAATGCTGCGACAATCTCGTTTGGCTTCAGAAGGACCATTCCAATCGGACGCACTGCTGGTGCCCGAGGGCTGCCTCTTCGACCACATACACAACGCGTCGCGCTGCTGGCCCTTCGTGCGATGGAACCAGACTGGAGCCGCCGCCTGCCAGGAGCGGGGCATGCAGATGCGCAGCTTCGCCATGCTGCTGCCCTGCGGCATTTCCCTCTTCTCGGGCGTCGAGTTCGTCTGCTGCCCCAAGCACTTCAAAAGTAAGTGGCGCTGCTGTTCACAGCTGGGCCCACGCACACTCTCACACCCACACACACACGCACACACACACACACGCACACTCTGGTGCTCATGCTAAACTTTCGATTTGCTTTACAGCCGATGAGATACGCGTGAAGAAGACCGATATTCCCGTCATGCCGCCGGCACAGCTGAACAATGCGAACGTGGAGCTGAGCGTGAATGAGGAGGATGAGAGCAACGACTCGAACTACTCGAAGGACGCCAACGACGACGAGGACGATCTGATGGGCGATGACGAGGAGGACGAAATGGTCGCCGATGAGGCAGCCGCTGGCGGCGGCACCGGCACCGGCACCGGCTCCAACACCGGCTCTGGCACTGGCACTGGCACCGGCACAGCCAGCGATGCCAACAGCAGCGGCCTGGACGACATCAATGCCGAGTACGACAGCGGCGAGGACAGCGACATCTACGAGGAGGACGGCGCCGGCTCGGACAGCGATGTGGCCGGCATTGCCGACGCCTGGGACCCCAATGGCAGCTCCAGTGGCGCCAAGCCCGCTCTGAAATCCCAGGTCCCGATCCCCTTGATGTCCTCCTCGCCCGCCAGCCTGACCGTCGCCGAGCAAGTGGGCAGCAAACCCTCCATCTCGAAGCCGGAGCCGGTGACTGGTACGCCGCAATTGTCGGCAGCTGCTGCTGCTGCCGCCGCCGCCGCCGCCGCTGCCGCTGCTGTGGCAGGAGCTGGTGCACCACCGTCGACCGCTCAGCCCACCTCCGATCCGTACTTCACGCACTTCGACCCGCACTACGAGCACCAGAGCTACAAAGTAAGTCAGAAAGTAAGTGTTTACGTTGAGGGCGCAGGTTTATTTATCAAACAAAAAACAAAACATATTCTAAACAAAGGAAGCCCAACAGCGCCTTGAGGAATCGCACCGCGAGAAGGTCACACGTGTCATGAAGGACTGGTCGGATCTCGAGGAGAAGTACCAGGACATGCGCCTGGCCGATCCAAAAGCAGCGCAAAGCTTCAAACAGCGTATGACGGCACGTTTCCAGGTTTGTGCCCAACTGCCAGCACCCCTTCCAGCTACCCCGTCTCCCGTCTCCCTGCCCCCAGTCCTGTCCCAAGCCGCCCAATGTGAGCCCAGTTGTATCCCTAAACCAAGTCCAGCCTAACCTCTCATAGTTCTATTGTGTATTCTTTTTAAGGCTATCTCTCTCTCTGTCTCTCTATCTATCTCTGTCTCACGCACTAACTCATTCTATCTCTATTCGAAACCAACTTTGTATATACATATATGTGTGAGTGTGTGTGTGTTTGTCTTTGGGGAGAAGTGGCACAGTTGTTCAGTTGGCAACAGCTTGACACCGCCTGGGCACCGCCTCCCCAGCCCCAGCCCTACACTTGTGCTATAAACAAAATCATTTCCATTATAATTCTAGTTAGTTTATAATTTACCGCACCATCACAATGCACGTGCTTATGCACCCTATGTATTCGGTTCTATAATTTCCTGCTCGACTTTTCAGTTGTATTTCACGTAAACGCAGCTAATGCTGTCCATATATGCATATACGTACATATGTCTGTTTGTGTGTAGTCGTGTAGTTCCTACTCTCTCTGTGTGTGTATCCATGTATGGCAAATGGGAGCGAAAGAGGCATCAGATTGTAATCATAGAGAACAATAACAATGACAATCGCATCAATGATGTGCAAGATAACTCAAGCAACTGCTCAACACCGTAACAAAGTACAGCTCCGACTCGAGAGGTGCTCACACGTAGTTGAAACCGATTGGCTTTAAACGCGCTGAACTCGTGTAGTCCTTAGCTAACGACGCTCTTTTCATTTCATCTCAATTAGCGCTTAACTAACCAACCAGCTCAGCAAACAGCTCTACACAGACACGCACACGTACATATACAGCTACACACCCTACACCCACTCTGTCTGCCTCTCCCCCTCTCTCTTTTTGTGGGTGCATATCTGGCTTTAATCAAAATCAAGTACTCTAACTGCTGCGCTTACTGCATACATAAAAGATATATCTAGCTATATACATCATATAAATGGCCTTTATCTAGTCATGTAAATATGCCTCTACCTACATATACAGCAATCATATTAATTCACATACATACATATGCCAGCTCTTAAGTACCTCAATTCAATTGTCGCAAGCATAGCTCCAGCTCGCTCGCTCACTCTCTGTCTCTCCCCTTCTCTCGTAACCTCAGTCTTCACGCTTAAATGTGCCCTGGTCCCAAGAACTGCGCCTTAGATATTCTACTCTTTATTCGTTATGAAAGAATAAATTACTGCATATTAGTTAAAGAATTAATATTCATGCATATATGCCTGGTACAAGTTATTATACAAAGCAAACTTCTATAAAAGTCGAAAGTTGATTTTATAGGAAATTATTGAAGGCGGGCAAATTGAGTTTAAAATTGAAATTCAATTGAAGAGAGGAGAGCAACTGCTAATAGGAACTCCCAGAAATATTCATAGTGGAAAATTCCTTTTAAACTTCGGCTGCATATTTGGCATTCCATTTCGCATTCCAGTTCATTGGCAATTTCCACATATTTTCGTGGCACTCAGTGCACGAGCTATTAGAGCACAATCACGTCCCAGCACCCACACACACCTACACCCACTCACACTCACACCCACACACACAAACACACACCCACACAGTACTAACACAAGTTATAGCCATTGAAATAGTAGCGAAACGTAACTGTACTATGAAAGCGAATTTGCAATCGAAATTGATATCGATATTGCTATCGATCGATCGAAAGAAACTATCCAAAGTTTTCAATTCCAACATCGTGCTGATAATCTTTCTCTCTTGGTGTGCAATACGTCTTTATATGGGAATGTAATTTTAGACTTCTGTTCAGGCACTCGAGGAGGAAGGCAACGCCGAGAAGCACCAACTGGCCGCCATGCACCAGCAGCGCGTCCTCGCCCACATCAACCAGCGCAAGCGCGAGGCCATGACCTGCTACACGGAGGCCCTCACGGAGCAGCCACCGAATGTGAGTATATTCTGCCAGCGCAAGCGGAGGAGCGGACCTTTGATGAAATGTCTTCTTCTTCTTCTGCTTGCCAGGCCCATCATGTGGAGAAGTGTCTGCAGAAGCTGCTGCGCGCCCTGCACAAGGATCGGGCCCATGCCCTGGCCCACTATCGCCATCTGTTGAACTCGGGCGGCCCGGGCGGACTGGAGGCAGCCGCATCGGAGCGACCACGCACCCTTGAGCGTCTCATTGATATCGATCGTGCGGTCAATCAGTCGATGACCATGCTGAAGCGCTACCCGGAGCTGTCGGCCAAGATTGCCCAGCTGATGAACGATTACATATTGGCGCTGCGCAGCAAGGACGACATTCCCGGCTCCTCGCTGGGCATGAGCGAGGAGGCGGAGGCGGGCATCCTGGACAAATATCGCATCGAGATCGAGCGCAAGGTGGCCGAGAAGGAGCGCCTGCGCCTGGCCGAGAAGCAGCGCAAGGAGCAGCGTGCCGCCGAGCGCGAGAAGCTACGCGAGGACAAGATGCGCATGGAGGCCAAGAAGGTCGACGACATGCTCAAGTCGCAGGCGGCCGAGCAGCAGCAGCAGCAGCAGCAGATGTCCCAGCAGCAGC